GTTCGCTCGCTCCTTCACTGATGCCCCGCGGGCTCTAGCCCGGGGACCGAGCCCATATTCTAATCGCGGGCGCAGGTCCGTACTGCTAACCTCAGACTGCGGGTCAAAGCGACCTCCGGCCGCGGGCGCCTGGGCCTTCGCCGCAGAGAGCTGGCCGGGAGTGGCCAGGACTGCCCGCTGCTGCAGCACCCACACCCCTAGCCTTGCCGGGGGACAAGGGGCTGACTGTGAGCGCCGCCAGCCCCGACCGGCCCTTCTGCTTCCAGGTCTGCTGCGCCTGCCTCCGTGGAGCTTGAGCTGCCCACTGGGCCTTTCCTGCCTTCTGGGTTCTTTTCCTTCCTTGGCGGGGCCAGAGTCGGACTTGCCCAGCCAGTGTCCTCTCCACCGCACCCCTGTTCTTCTGGCTTTTCCCCAGTTCTCGTCACCCTACTTTGGCCTCCCTTGGCCTTTCTCGACAGGGTGGGCCTGTCTTCCCTCTCTCTCACCTTCCCCCAAGTGTCTTGCTTCCCTCTGGCCCTCTCTTCACACTTACCCCAGTCTTGGCCAGCCCTCGCGACTTCATCGACGCACCTGCCCGTAGTGAGCTTCCCGTGGGAAGGGAGGCCTGCACAGTGGCACCCGGGCCCTGCCAGCCATCTTTCTGGCCCCGTGACCCTCCAGCCTGCGCTCCGCCCTCCCGCTGGGCGCCTCAGCCAGTTTGTTCGTTTTGAGTCCAACTTTGATGCAGACTCGCCGCTGTGCATTGTCTCCAGCGGCACTGTGGTTTTAATAATTCGTTTGAAGCGGGAAAAAAATCATTTACGGCCGATGAAATGGAAACATCGCCCCGGGGTCCAGTCTAAATAGAGAACACGGAAAGACCAGTTTCAGGATTCGTGGGGTGTTTTGAAATTTTCGGAAAGTGTTCCAGCCTACCCCTGCTGCAGACCCAGTGCCTGCAGCCTGGCTGTCGTGCCCACACAGAGGAGTAAATCTGTTCACCCCCTCGGTATTCTTTCCCCAAAGCGGCAATGCGGATTTGGCTGCGCGAAGCTCATCTTCCTATCTCGCGACTTCCTTTTCTTCTTGGTTTCCCTTTTCCGTGAAACACACTGTGCACCTCTGAGCTTCAAACCTTTTCATTGAGAATCCCGAAATCTCAAAGGGGGCACCCGCCTGCGGAGCGCAGGGCAGCGCCCAGGGTGGGGGAGACCCTTGTTCCCAGACTGGGGGACACTGGCGCTGGAGCGGGTCACCCCAGGCGCGGCTTAATCTCTCCCTTCTCGGCCTGGCAGGAGGGTTTGTGCCGGGTGGCACGGCCAGGCGCTAGTCCTCTGGTAGCGGGATGCCCGGGCGCCTCCCAGAGAAGAAGCAGGGCCTGCGCTCACGAGGCTCCCCTTTCTCTCCCCGCAGCCGTGTTGAAGGCCGAGCAGGCGGCGGTGTTTAAATTCCCGCTGGCGCCTCTCGGCTGTTCCGGGCTGG